AGATGGTTATGTTAATGTTTGCACTGAGTAAAGTCTTTGCTTAGTCTGCTGTGTAGTAAATACAGTTACTGGTTGATTCATGCAATTCATTTTGTAAAAAGTTTACATCAGGATCTATGCCTGTAATCATAGGATGAGAGTAATTTTACAAACTAAATTTTCTGAGTAAAATGATATAAGATTTATGTTGAATCTACAACTAGACTTATGACTAAGACACCGTGATTAATCTAAAACTTGTAAAAATTTTAAGGAAAAAGGGATTATTAGAGAATTGATAAATTAGTTATACACTTAAATATCTAATAGCACCTTAATTATTTTAACAAGCGAGTTTATGAACTACAGTAGATATTTACAGTTAAAATAAAGGAGCTGATGGACATAATAGTAAAAGAATGTATTAAAAGTAAAATCAGTAGCACCTGAGGTAGTCAATAGCACCTGGAGTATTTTAATGGCAAAATAGTGAACTTATTACACTTTAGCACCTGAGAATAGCACTTTGATTATTTTAACAATTGTGGATATATGGAGTAAGGTAGTTATATAAAGCTAAAATAAAGGAGAAAATATATAAGGGACTAAATTAAGTAATGATGAACAAAGTTCAATGGACAGATAGTCACTATGATATAATATTGATTTGGGAGTAACATCTGATTTGTAATGTATAATAAGTTGAGCAATTAATTGCACTATAAAAAGTAGAGAAATATGAGGTAGCTGGTACTAGCTAGCAAAAGATAGTTTTGGGACTAACACAATAATGTAATTGAATTTATTATCACACTGGCCGATTCCCACCAAGGCAGGGTGGCCCGAAAAAGAAAAACTTTCACCATCATTCACTCCATCACTGTCTTGCCAGAAGGGTGCTTTACACTACAGTTTTTAAACTGCAACATTAACACCCCTCCTTCAGAGTGCAGGCACTGTACTTCCCATCTCCAGGACTCAAGTCCGGCCTGCCGGTTTCCATGAACCCCTTCATAAATGCTACTTTGCTCACACTCCAACAGCACGTCAAGTATTAAAAACCATTTGTCTCCATTCACTCCTATCAAACACGCTCACGCATGCCTGCTGGAAGTCCAAGCCCCTCGCACACAAAACCTCCTTTACCACCTCCCTCCAACCTTTCCTAGGCCGACCCCTACCCCGTCTTCCTTCCACTACAGACTGATACACTCTTGAAGTCATTCTGTTTTGCTCCATTCTCTCTACATGTCCGAACCACCTCAACAACCCTTCCTCAGCCCTCTGGACAACAGTTTTGGTAATCCCGCACCTCCTCCTAACTTCCAAACTACGAATTCTCTGCATTATATTCACACCACACATTGCCCTCAGACATGACATCTCCACGGCGTCCAGCCTTCTCCTCGCTGCAACATTCATCACCCATGCTTCACACCCATATAAGAGTCTTGGTAAAACTATACTCTCATACATTCCCCTCTTTGCCTCCAAGGACAAAGTTCTTTGTCTCCACAGACTCCTAAGTGCACCACTCACTCTTTTCCCCTCATCAATTCTATGATTCACCTCATCTTTCATAGACCCATCCGCTGACACGTCCACTCCCAAATATCTGAATACATTCACCTCCTCCATACTCTCTCCCTCCAATCTGATATCCAATCTTTCATCACCTAATCTTTTTATCGTCATAACCTTACTCTTTCCTGTATTCACCTTTAATTTTCTTTTGCACACCCTACCAAATTGGAATATACACTAATTTCACATGCAATATAAAGGGGATTAAAATAGTAGTGGTAAGCTGAATTAAATGGACAGGTAGCAAGCATGAATAACATTAATTTGGAGTAAGATTTGACTTGCAACACAAAATTATGACAAATAAAAGCAATTAAAAAGTAAAAAGTATTTGAGGTAGCTGGTATTAGCTAGTAAAAGAAAAAATAATAATGCACAATAATATAATAGTAACATACACTATATGCACCACACGTATATATGTGTTAAGGACACTTATCTAATCTGTTACAGAAATGTTGCTTTTCTAAGGAAGGTAGAGAAATCATGTTCATTTGAGATGGTGTATTGTTGTCCTGTTGAAGTTTTTCTAATTAGTATTTTCCCATCTCGAGTGAAACACTGATGTATTTTGTTTTCCTGTTTAAGTTTTCTCAACCTGAACAGAAGGTTTTGATGTTTTCTTGTTAGACACTCGTTGATGTACACTCCATTTTTCATTGTAATTGCTGATTTAATTAAGTCCTTTCTTTTATCATATGAATGAAGTCTGATCATAATACTGTGTTTACTACCTTGTTTTCCTAACAAACATGTTTCTTTGGTTTCATTGTTTTGCACAATAACTTTTACATGGTCATGTATTATCCTGACAGCAGTTTCTTTGCACTGTTCTTGGGTAATTTCACTAGGAATGTGTGGACTGTTTATTATAACTGCATCAGACAACTTATCTTGTTCAGTTTTGTTGTCTTTTCAATCAAGGTATTCATTCAGTCGAGTGTGCATGTTCTGATTCCAGTCCTTGATTGCTTCTTCAACCTTCATATTTAGAGTTGTTATTTGCTCAGTGTGACTGGCTATTGCTGTTTTCAGAATATTTTCTGTGTCAGCACTTCCCGAGGTAATCTTCCCTTCAAGGTTTTGAATCTTGTTCTCAAGGTTGGTTATCTTGGATTCTCGTCGCGCAAGTGTTGCTTTAATATCTTTGGTTTCGTTTTCTAGAGCAACGATGTAGTCCCTGATATTGTCAAGGAATAATCATACCTGAGTTATCATGGGTGAATTCTTTGAAGGGAGTAGAGTTGGAGGGGGAGTCAGCCATGTTTGTTGTTGTTCTCTGGGTTGTAGTGGTGAGGGGGGTTGATGATACACCGGCGTCCTGCTGGGTAGACAAGATGAGTTCTAGGGTCCTTTGTGTTCTTTTCTTACTGCTGTTGTTTCTTCTGCGATATCCTTTCATAGTATCACTAAAGTTGATACTGTGTAGCTATGGAAGAGAAAGCTTGATTTCCCTGAGCTTGAATGTGTTCCTTCTTTTCCAAGGTCACCATGCCTCGGTGGGAGACACACACACAAAAAAAAACTGTGTAATTTGCAGACAGAACAGATTCAAGTAGACAAGATGTACTGGGGAGATCACTAATACATGTGATGAGCAAAGAGCTAAGAGCACTTCCCTGACAGGCTGAGTTGATGAGGTTACACCAATGATAGGAGACCTTTACCTTTGATGAGTTTTGAGAGTCTCACTACTTGATGATAAATTCAAAATAGAAAGCAAGTGTAATATAGGAGAGGCCTGTGAATATGATTAACAAACAGAGAAAACGTTATTTTAGTCCCAGGATTGTCTACAGTGTTTATTTTGGAATCTTTTTTCAAATTAGAATTTCATAATTTTGCATAAAATTAGCTGAATTACTGAATAGAGCAGTTCTGATAGTTGAACGGGTGTTTTCTTATGCTCAATCAATAAACTGCAAGGCATACTAGCAGAACAGCTAAGAATTTAGTTGAAACGAGCATGGAATTTGCCTTAAACTAGGTCTATAATTGGGCAAAATAACTGATGCATCTATTGCATCCAGACTACTAAGCTGGTGCCTGGTAATTCCATGAGTTTTCAAACAAATTTCCTATTTCTGGCATCTTTACCTTCAGACAGATTCTCTATACAGTGGACCCCCGGTTAACGATTTTAATCCGTGCAAGAGGGGTAATCGTTATGCGAAATAATCGTTATGTGAATGAATTTTCCCCATAAGAAATAATGGAAATAAAATTAATCCGTGCAAGACACCCAAAAGTATGAAAAAAAAATTTTTTTACCACATGAAATGTTAATTTTAATACACACAAACTGAAAAAGGCATGCACACTTACATGACACTTACTTTTATTGAAGATCTGGTGATGATTGATGGGATGGGAGGAGGGGAGAGCATTATCTTCTTACTGTTTAGAAGGGGAATCCCCTTACATTAGGACTTGAGGTAGCAAGTCCTTTTCCGGGGTTACTTCCCTTCTTCTTTTAATGCCACTAGGACCAGCTTGAGAGTCACTGGACCTCTGTCGCACAACAAATCTGTCCATAGAGCTCTGTACCTCCGTTCCTTTACGATTTGTCTAAAATGGGCCACAACATTGTCATTGAAATAGTCACCAGCACGGCTTGCAACAGCTGTGTCAGGGTGATTTTCATCCATAAAGGTTTGCAGTTCAACCCACTGTGCACACATTTCCTTAATTTTTGAAGTAGGCACAATGGATTCCACAACTGGCATAGGCTTCTCAGGGTTAGCCCAAACCCTTCAAAATCTTTCTTAATTTCCATACTAATTCTCACCCTTTTTACCACAGGGTTGGCACTAGAAGCTTTCTTGGGGCCCATGGTCACTTATTTTCCAGAAACAGCACCGAAAACACTGTAATAATACGAAATATTCCGATTGTATGCTTGGATGTTATTGCGGAGGCTGGCTGGTAAACAATGCCACCGGCGGAACATGTGAGCGTGGCTCAGGCCGCACATTGGAAGCGTCTCGGACGAAAATCGGTAAGCGGGTTTTTAAGCGGTATGCGAGGCAAAATTTTTGCAATTAAAGTAAGCGGTATGCGAAATAATCGCTATGTGATGCCATCGTTATGCGGGGGTCCACTGTAGTATTATCAGAAGAAACTTTTTTTAACTGCTGACCCTCTGAGCCTATAATTTCTTACGGCGTATGCTGTCAGTGGCCCTGAAACCCAACAGAAGAAGAAGAAGCCTATAATTTCTGAGCATGGTAGACATATACATGTTGTTTTAAGTTCACTTTAAACTTACAACATGATGCAGGAACACAACTATTACATAAAGCAATAATTATCTTTACTTCTAAAAGTACACAATACAACTTATATAGACCTATCTCACATCAATGACATATTATATAGAAATCCCCTGGTTAAGTAGAGCAAGGTAGATATGAATAAAAAAATTAAGTTAAACTTACCTAGATTTGTTAGTGTTGTTGTGTGAGGTAGTGAGTGTGGTGGTCCAGGCAAGGGTGGCGTCCTGTGCCGCTACAGCCGTCGCTGCATCCGCTGGTCTCTCAACATAAGGTGTCAACTCTGGCATTAACAGTATATTCTGCCGAAACATTATTATTATTACTATAGCGAAACGGTAAACCCGTTATGGTTATACAGTGACTTGGAAACTGAAGATAATGAGGTTAGATGTGAGGAAGTGGAGGGTAGCACCATTTCCTCAGATCAAAAACCCACCAGCAATGTGCAGGCACACAGTTTCAAGTCATGTAAAATTTATGATAAATACATAACTAACAGTGGCAGTATAAATACAGTAGAGCCCTGCTTTATGGCATTTCACCTTACAGCATTCCATTAGCGGTCTTTCTAATAGAGCATGCCCCACCCGGTTTGTTTACATTCTCCATGAGCACATCTATTATGTCTGGAAATTTTCCAAAATTTCAAGTTTTAAAGTTACTGCATATTTTATATGTACTCTGATAAGTAAACTGTAGGACCCTACTTATACAGCAGGTTAGATTCCAGGCTACTGCCAGAAAGCAGACATCGCCGGAAAGCAGACAGCCATTTTTTCCACTTATAAACGCATATAAATGCCATTTAACGAGTTTACACTAACATATAGTACAGTGGACCCTCGCCTAACAAACGCATCACATAACATTAAATCTGCCTACCGATACATTTTAACGCAAAAATTTTGCCTCGGCTAGTGCTAGAAAACTCGCCCAACACGATTCGTTCTGTTCGAGACGCGTCCACATGTGGCGTGAGCGCGCCTCACTTGTCCTGTGGGTGCCAGTGTTTACAAGCCAGCCACTGTGGTCGCATCCAAACATACAATCGGAACATTTCATATTATCACCGAGTTTGTGGTGTTTGCACCTGCAAAGTCACCAAGGGCCCCAAGAAAGCTTCTAGTGTCAACCCTGTGATAAAAAGGGTGAGAATTAGTATGGAAATTAAGAAAGATTTTGAAGGGTTTGAGGCTAACCCTGAGATGCCTATTCCAGTTGTGGAATCCATGTGCCTACTTCAAAGATAAAGGAAATGTGTGCAAAGTGGGTTGAACTGCAAACCTTTATGGAGGAAAATCACCCTAACACAGATATTGCAAGCCGTGCTGGTGACTATTACAATGACAATGTTATGGCCCATTTTACACAAATCTTAAAGGAACGGGAGGTACAGAGCTCTATGGACAGATATGTTGTGCAACAGAGGTCCAGTGACTCTCGAGCTGGTCCTAGTGGCATTAAAAGAAGAAGAGAAGTAACCCCAGAAAAGGATTTGACACCTCAAGTCCTAATGGAAGGGGATTCCCCTTCTAAACATTAACACCATCCACACTCTCCCCTCCTCCCAACCCATCAATCATCACCAGATCTTCAATAAAGATAAGTGTCATGTAATTGTACATGTCTTCTTCAGTTTGTGTGTATTATTATTATTATTTATAATCAAAAAGAAGCGCTAAGCCACAAGGGCTATACAGCGCTGCAGGGTAGGGAAGGAAGCGAGGGTATTGGATGGCAGAAGGGAGGGGGGGTGATCAGCAGGTTACAGAAAACAGCGGGGCAGGGGATAGTACGGGGGTAGAGGGTAGCAAGAGATTGAAGTAGAAAGGGCTGAAGGTATCAGAATTTGTGATGTAAGTCAGTTGTTGTCAAAAAGTCAATGAGAGAGTCCGGATGAAAGGTGGGTCCATCAGCGAGAAGGGAAGGTAAAGAGAGAGCAGCGGAGCGAAGACGACGACAGAGGTAAATTCTGCGTGCTCGTTGGTAAAGTGGGCAGTCCAACAGAATGTGGCTGACTGATAATGGAGCTTGGCAATTCTCACAGAGAGGAGCAAGACGCCTCTCCATGAGATATCCATGAGTAAGACGAGTATGGCCAATGCGAAGACGGGAGAGAGTAGTCTCCCAACCTCGACACTGGTGATAAGAAGACGGCCAGTAACCTATACTCGGTTTAATAGATTGAAGTTTGTTGCCGAGCATAGTAGACCAACGTTGTTGCCAACGGGTGTGAAGGTGGGAAGATATTGCAGCAAAATAGTCCGTAAATGGAATACCTCTATAAGAAACTGGTAGGTCATGTACTGCTGACCACGCAGCAGTGTCTGCCTGTTCATTGCCCTGTACGTCAACATGACCAGGGACCCAACAAAAAACAATATCTTTATGCTTGGTAAAGATGCGGCGTAGCCAAAGTTGGATACGGAGGACTAAGGGGTGAGGTGTATCAAATTTTTGTATAGCCTGTAAAGCACTAAGGGAGTCTGAGACAACCACAAATGATGACACAGGCATAGATGCAATACGGATAAGTGCTGTAAGGATGGCATATAATTTAGCAGTAAAAATACTAGCCGAAGATAGTAAATGCCCTTGTACGACGCTGTCCGGAAACACTGCTGCGAATCCTACGCCATCAGAAGACTTAGAGCCATCTGTGTACACAGCAATGGCATGAAGAATGAGAGTGAAAGTGGTCAAGAAAAAGAGAGCGGGAAGCGACCGTAGACAGTTGGGCTTTCGAGCAAGGGAGGGAGAAAGAACAGACTCGAACAGCTGGAACTTCCCAGGGGGTAGGGAAAAGTGAGATGCTACATGTACATAGAAAGGTGGTAGTTGAAGAGAAGACAAGAGCGAATGAAGGCGAAGAGAGAAGGGACAGAGTAAACAGGGGCGGCGAACAAAATAAAGAATGTCTACTAATATCAGTGACCATTCTATAAATGGAAGGATTGCGGAGATCATGAGAGCGTACATAGTAGCGCAGGCAATGAGCATCACGGCGATCGGATAAGGATGGAACGTTCGCTTCTGCATAGAGGCTCTCGACGGGGAAGAGCGAAAAGCACCAAGGCATAAACGTAATCCTTGGTGATGAATGGGGTTAAGGCTAGAGAGAGTAGCAGGAGATGCCGCTGAATAGATCTGGTCACCATAATCAAGTTTTGATAAAATAAGGGTGGAATGTAGGCGAAGGAGGGTTCGACGATCAGCTCCCCATGAAAGATGAGCAAGGGTTTTAAGAAGGTTCAGCCGGCTGTGACAAGTTGCCTTCAGAGAGGTAATGTGAGGTTTCCAGGATAACCTACGATCAAAGAGGAGGCCCAGAAACTTGACTGTATCACGTTCAGGGATACGGGAGCCATAGAGGTACAAAGGATGATCGGAGATGACAGAGCGTCTAGTGAAAGTGATTTGGTGGGTTTTAGTGCTGGAAAATTTAAACCCACTTTGTGGTGGTCCAATTGGAAACACGGTCAATTGCATTTTTGGAGAGAAACTGTAATGAGATGACAGTCAGCGCCTGCACAGGCAATAGCGAAGTCATCAACATAGAGTGATGACCAAATATTTGAGGGAAGACTAGAGGCCAAATCATTAATAGCAAGGAGAAAAAGTGTTGTGCTCGAACACATCCCTGGGGGACACCTTCAGCTTGGATAAAGTCCGGGGAGAGCACATTATTAACCCGAACACGGAAATGCCTGTCAGTTAAAAAGTTCTTAAGGAAGGATGGTAGATTGCCTCGAAGGCCTAAGGAGTGGGCTTGGGCTAAAATATTATACCTCCAAGTTGTGTCATATGCCTTCTCAAGGTCAAAAATATGGCAATAACTGAGTGGGTTTTTTCGCAAAGGCATTACGAACATACGTATCCAAGCATAGTAAGGGGTCTATGGTAGAACGTCCCTTACGAAAGCCATATTGACGAGTGGAGAGACTGTTGTGTGTCTCTAAATACCACACTAAACGTCTATTTACTAGGCGTTCCATTACTTGCAAACTGCACTGGTAAGAGCAATGGGACGATAGTGGGAGGTTTCATGTCCCGTAGTGCCTTTGGTTTGCGGAAAGGGAGAACAATGGCGGATTTCCACAGCTGTGGAAGAACTCCTTGTGACCAAATAAGATTGTAAAGGCGTAATAGGACTGCAAGGGCTGACTGATGTAAATGTTGTAGCATACGAATATGAATGTCGTCGGGCCCAGCTGCCGATGATCGACAAGCTGAGAGTGTTGCCCCAGTTCTTGAAGTGTAAAAGGCATATTATACTGTTCTTCTCTGAGAGAAGAAAAGTCCAAGGGTGCTAACTCTCTGGCAGACTTTGAGGAAAGAAATGAGGGGCATAGATGGAGTCCCTGAGAAATACGGACCAGATGATTGCCAATTTCATTGGCAACATCTAGTGGGTTTGCTATATCAACACCGGCAACCCGCAGAACAGGAGCCGGGTCAGGAGAATATTTACCACTCAGTTTTCGTACTTTTTTCCAGACTGCACTCATAGAGGAAGCAGAGGTGATGGTGGAGACATAATCTCGCCAGCAAGTGCGTTTAGCATCACGGATGACACGGCGAGCGATCGCACGCTTCTGTTTAAAAACAAGGATCGCTCTGTGGTTTTTATTTTAGAAGAGCAGACTGAGAGATTCGATGCAAGAGAGATATGAGTCCGAGGATCAAAATGGTGTGAGTACTTTATTTTAAAACATGGAGGGGTGGGTGGCAAGAAAAGCCTCTAACTGAATGCCAACACGGAATCACAGTGAGCCCCCCCCCAGAGGAAATGGTGGGGCATTAAAAATCAACAAGTAACAGAATCGTGGCGGAAATGACAAACAAGGAAGGCAATAATCCGGAATAGATAAGGCCCCGAGAAGGGAAGAGATATAAAGAACAGAGCGTATACCACTCTGTAGTGGATACGGGCTGCTGTGTAATGCAGCGAAGTATGAACAAATAGCTGATGGTACGAATAATCAGTGCGTAGAAGAAGGGCACTTTCAATAAAGGTCCCATCAGGAAAAAGATCTGAAGAATACAATACATTAATAGCCGGAGATGGGAGAAAAACAGCAGAGTGTAATTTTTGGTTCCTGTAAGCAAACACCAACAGGCAAACATGGAGAGTAACATCTGAAGCTCACCCCCGATTACCCCTGAGCCGCGAATATTCCACTGTAAATAGGCCATGATTGGCAATGATAAAGATACTTGAAATCCGCAGTAAGGGTTCCTACGGACTAGAGGGGTTAGAAAAGTCCAAAAGCTAGGCAGTGGAAAACGTTCAAGCAGCGAAGAACAGTGCGCTGGTGAAG